GTACCGAGTCTCCGGAGCAGCTGACTTTTAGCAGCTGCAGACGCTCGGGCTCCCAGGCCGAGCCCTGCTCCTGAGCACAGCAAAGCAGGGAAGTGGTTTCCTCCTTCGGGCTCAGAGTTTGCAGTAAGTGACCCTGGGGGCTGATCCAGGACGTCAGCGAGGTGCTCCTGAGTGTTTGTCACCATGGCTACTAACGAAATCATTGGAGTCACCAGGAAGGGCTTCAGGGCCTGCGGTCTCCTTGATGTGGCTCGGGCTGTGGGAGCCAGCTCTTTCGCGCTCACTTCCGTTCCCACAGCGGGAACGGCCGCCGTCTCTCTCGAGCCTGCAGGCTGCCGGGGCCCCATCCACAGGGCTCAACAGTTACGCGTCCAGTGCCCGACGGAGGGCCAGGCGCAGCCACAGGCCGCTCGGGCTTGTCGTGGGAGTGCTTGCGTGGTAACGCGGCTCGAGCCGGGCTGCTCTGCCCCCTCACCGCACCCCACGGCCCACGGAAACCCCCGCCCTGTGCTCTTGCCGAAGCCGCGGCGGTTACCTGAGAGTGAAAGCGCGTGGGCGCAGGCACCCGGGGCCCACCCAGCCCTCGGCGCCCGATGCCGGCAGGTGAAGACCCTTACTCGGAGCTTGGGGGCACATAGGTAGTTGTTGGCCTTGGACTTCTCTGGTCACCTACTAAAGAGACTACAATAAATCACCTCTAATTTGATGAAGGAAGGCCAGGGGTAAAACTATGAGTGATTATATAGATAGACACATGTGTACACACATGTATATGCATGTACACATGCGTGTACACATGTACCGATGTGTTATGCCTGGGTGTGTTTAAATAAGCACAGTTTAGTTGTGTTCACCCTCAGAGATGGCCTGGGCTTACAAGGATTCTCATAGGGTTGGGTTAGAAGAAAAGCATCTGGTTTCAGGAAACTCAGAGTGACTCCTAGTTATCTCAATACAATATGCGAATATATCGCGGCCGTTGGGTTCTTCCCTACTTTGCAAATGAAGTAACCTAGAGCCACTAACTTTTCTGCACCCTCCCCAGGTCCTTTGTTGAGAGGTTTAAAGGCAAATTAACGGGCAATTGGTTTTCCTGCTGAATGGCAGCTGGGGCCGTCCTGAGACTTGATGTTCGGGACCAGAAGCAGCTGGCGCCATGCTCCACGCTGCGTATTCTTGCATTTGCTGAGCCTCCTGCTTCTGATGTTGACAGGGCCGCGTCTTAGCAGAGAGGGCGACCACAAGGAGGGAGAGGGGAGCCAGGCAGGGGAGGGTCACCAGCTTCCCACTTTGCACTCTGGGTCTCCCAGATGGAAGTGGGAGGCCGTAATGTCCCCACGGGTCAAGTCATATCTCAGCCCCAGGTTGCCGTGACCAAGCCCAAGAATTGTCAACAAAGGGAAGGCCTGCCTGATGGCTCTGCCACTGCCCAGCCCAAACCAGCCCGGAGCTGCCGTGGGTCACAAAATGCTTGGCACATGCATGGGGGCCATATGTTGAAACGGAAGCTGGGTATCTAGGTTTTAGCCCCTGTCGCTTCTCGTGGTGAGAGACAGCATCCCGAGTGGCTGGCGAAGGGCTGACCACTTTGGGGGGAGACGAGCTGTGCACCCACCCCCACCCCCACCCTATGGGATAGGAGGCCTCCTCCTGGGGATGCGATGCAGGCACCTGCCTTCGGATGACTCTCATGTGCAGACACAAAATAGGACAGAACAAAGCAAAGGGGTAAGAAGGGCAACCGAGAAGGTGCAACGTGTTTTCGGAAGGTAGTTTCGTCTTTGAAATTTGGCGTCCCCGGGGGAGGAAATGTCTGCAGCTGTGATTCATGGGTAAATTGGCCAACCTCCTTCCTATGTTGATATAAACAAGAACACTACAATCAGGCTGCTCCAAGGGGGGAAAAGATATACACGTTCTCCAAAAGCCGTCCAAGTTTCTGAGGGTGAGCCGTCCCCCAGTGTGAGCTTCCTCTCGGGCCGTGGAAGTTGCCTCTGGAACTGTCGCCTAAATATCCCAGCCCACACTATGGAATTTCTGTCGCCGAGACGCGACGTCCGTGACGGGAACCGGCGGACCTTGACTCCCATCTTCTGGATGTCCGAGTGCATCATGGATCAGTTGACAATAGGTTTTCCAAGTCCCCCACTTCCTGCCTTCTCCGCAAGGAAACAGCAGCCTCCTGCGGTGAGAGGCTTGGCTTCCCGGGGCTGGAAGAAGTGAGGGTTTTGAGTTACCATCTCTTTTCCTGTTTGGAAGGAGCCCGCTGTCATCACGCTGGCTGGGGGACTGCAGAGGCTGTCACGAGAGCGCCACGGCACGGAAGAGGCAGGTGTGGGAGGAGGGAGCCCCACCCTCGGCATCCTCTCGCAGCCGGGAAACTTGGGGGGACAGCTGTTTACTGCTCCAACAGATGTTTCTCATTTTTTT